CTCCAGTAGCTGTACCGTGACGGTACTCCAGTAGCTGTACCGTGACGGTACTCCAGTAGCTGTACCGTACTCCAGTAGCTGTACCGTAACGGTGCTCCAGTAGCTGTACCGTGACGGTGTTCCAGTAGCTGTACCGTGACGGTACTCCAGTAGCTGTACCGTGACGGTGCTCAAGTAGCTATACCGTGAGGGTGCTCCAGTAGCTGTACCCTGACGGTACCCAGTAGCTTAAACCCTGACGGTACTCCAGTAGCTGTACCGTGACGGTACTCCAGTAGCTGTACCATGACGGTACTCCAGTAGCTGTACCATGACGGCGCTCAAGTACTGTACCGTGGGGTACCCGTAAACTGTACCGTGACGTGCTCCAGTACTGTACCTGACGGTGCTCCATAGCTGTACCGTGACGGGGCTCCAGTACCTTCCGTGACGGGACTCCAGTAGCTGTACCGTGACGGTACTCCAGTAGCTGTACCGTGACGGTGCCCCAGTAGCTGTACCGTGACTGTGCTCCAGTAGCTGTACCGTGACGGTACTCCAGTAGCTGTACCGTGAAGGTGCTCCAGTAGCTGTACCGTGAAGGTGCTCCAGTAGCTGTACCGTGACGGTGCTCCAGTAGCTCTACCGTGACGGTGCTCCAGTAGCTGTACCGTGACGGGACTTTCCCGTAGCTGTACCGTGATGGGACCAGTAGCTGTACTGTGACGGTACTTCAGTAGCAGCACCGTGACGGTACTCCAGTAGCAGTACCGTAACGGTACTCCAGTAGCAGTACCGTGATGGTGCTCCAGTAGCAGTACCGTTATGGTATTCTAGTAGCAGTACCGTTATGGTACTCTAGCAGCAGTACCGTGACAATACTCCAGTAGCAGTACCGTGACAGTACTCCAGTAGCAGTACCGTGACAATACTCCAGTAGCAGTACCGTGACAGTACTCCAGTAGCAGCACCGTGACAGTACTCCAGTAGCTGTACCGTGACGGTAGTCCAGTAGCTGTACCCTGACGCTACTCCAGTAGTTGTACCGTGACGGTGCTCCAGTAGCTGTACCGTGACGGTACTCCAGTAGATGTACCGTGTTGGTACTCCAGTAGCTGTACCGTGACGTTACTCCAGTAGCTGTACCGTGACATTACTCCAGTAGCTGTACCGTGACGGTACTCCAGTAGCAGTACCATGACAATACTCCAGTAGCAGTACCGTGACAGTACTCCAGTAGCAGTACCGTGACAGTACTCCAGTAGCAGTACAGTGACGATACTCCAGTAGCAGTACCCTGACTGAATTCGAGGAGCAGTACCATGGCAGCACTCCAGAAGCTGTACCCTGACGGTACTCCAATAGCTGTACCGTGACGGTACTCCAGTAGCTGTGCCGTGACGGTATTCCAGTAGGTGTACCGTGACGGTACTCCAGTAGCTGTACCGTGTCGTTACTCCAGTAGCTGTACCGTGACGGTACTCCAGTAGCTGTACTGTGACGGTGATCCAGTAGCAGTACCGTGACAGTACTCCGGTAGCAGTACCGTGATAATTCTCCAGTAGCAGTACCGTGACAGTACTCCAGTAGGAGTACCGTGACGGTACTCCAGTAGCAGTACCGTGACGGTACTCCAGTAGCAGTACCGTGACGGTACTCCAGTAGTAGTACCGTTTATGTGCTCCATAGCAGTACCGTGATGGTGCTCCAGTAGCATACCGTGATGGTACTCTAGCAGCAGTAAACCCTGACAATACTCCATACAGTACCGTGACAGTAAACCCCGTAGCAGTACCGTGACGGTACTTCCAGTAGCAGTACCGTGACAGTACTCCAGTAGCAGTACCGTGACGGTACTCTAGATGCAGTACCGTGACGGTACTCTAGATGCAGTACCGTGACGGTACTCCAGTAGCATTACCGTACGGTACTCCAGTAGCATTACCGTGCGGTATTTTTTTTCCCGTAGCAGTACCGTGACGGTACTCCAGTAGCAGTACCGTGACGGTACTCCAGTAGCAGTACCGTGACGGTACTCCAGTAGCAGTACCGTGACGGTACTCCCCGTAGCAGTACCGGACGGTACCCAGTAGCAGTACCGTGACGGTTTTTCCAGTAGCAGTAACCGTGACGGACTCCATAGCAGTACCGTGACGGGAATTCCCCGTAGCAGTACCGGACGGTACTCCGCAGCAGTACCGTGACGGTACTCCAGTAGCAGTACCGTGACGGTACTCCAGTAGCAGTACCGTGACGGTACTCCAGTAGCAGTACCGTGACAGTACTCCAGTAGCAGTACCGTGACGGTACTCCAGTAGCAGTACCGTGACGGTACTCCAGTAGCAGTACCGTGACAGTACTCCCTAGCAGTACCGTGACAGTACTCCAGTAGCAGTACCGTGACGGTACTCCCTAGCATTTCCCCTACGGTACTCCAGTACAGTACCGTGACGGTTACTCTAGTAGCAGTAATTGACGGTTACTCCAGTACAGTTCCGTGACAATACTCCCCGTAGCATTCCGTGACAATACTCAGTAGCATACCGTGACAGTACTCCATAGATACCCTAAAGTACTCCATACATACCGTGACGTGCTCCATTAATAACGTGACGGAACCCCCCCCCGTAGCATTTCCGTGATGGTGCTCCGTAAAATCATCGGTTTTTGACAAGTTTGATTTAGATGAAAATGACGCTGAGAGAAAGTAGACATAGAATTAGAAACTGAAAGAAAATATCAAACTGACGAAACACTTCAAGAAGAAAAAGAAGATAAGGAAGATTAAGAAGGGGAAGAATATTCCTCAGGAGAGGGTAATACTCAGGAGAGGGTAATACTCAGGAGAGGGTAATACTGGCGACCCCTCTCTTGCCACACTGCTCAGGTCAACGAGAACACTAAACATACCGTAATTCAACCTACAAACACGATCCCCACGATGTAAACAAGATCCTACAAACACGATCCCCACGATGTAAACAAGATCTTAAAGACCGTACAAAAGCAATAATATACCTGCTTCTCCATACCAAGGTAATGTAATATTTGGTCACTGAACCACAACATATCAATGATCACTAGGAAGCCTGGAGGCCACACTAAGAAAGGAGTTAGAAATTATATTTTTACATGTTAACAGTGGCACTCAACGCTTAGACTAGAGTGGTAAGTTTGAGAATAAGACACTGGATGGAGAGACACTCCATGAAGTCAATTTTGAGGGGAGAACTTTCTGCAATAAACAAAATATAACTTTTTTTAATCTCTTGCAAGATACTTTCTGTATAAAAGCAGCAAAATTTTTGGTCAGCACACACATGATTGACTTCAACAAGACATGACATGACACACTCACCTCACCTCCAAGATCTGACACACTCCGTTCATCTTAACCTAGAGTGTTTCTCTGTACTATACACGGCAAGGCTCTCATGTATATAATTCAGCAAACATATGTACAATATTTTTGTTTCACCTTTTTTTCCTGACCCATTGTGTACACACACGAGTTAGGTCCGGCGATTTCACTTATATTCTCTACGCTCTGGCTGCTCTCAGTGAACCCACATGTTCTAGGAAAGACATAGATCTGAGCTTGCCATAGTACTCGTTAAAGCTCTTCTCCACAGGGCGGGATTTGAACCCGCGGTCAGAGAGTCTCAAAACTCCAAACCGTCGCGGGTTCAAATCCCGCCCGTGTATGGTTTGTTTGCAATCGTGTCATTACGATTTCGTGAGTCATCTCCACAGATAACACTAGTATTTCTAGACTGTCTTCACCAAACTGTTTATTTTTTTTCCTTTCTTGGAGACTATACCTATATTCTTCATCCTTTTATTTTTCATCCCCGTAGTCCAAACACAGCCATTTCTTTCTCAAACTGTCCCGCGTAGAGATAAGAATATTTTCCAAGCTCAGATCTGTCTCTCGAGTGACTAGAGTTCTCCGTCATTGTCGAGAATCACTAGTAGTCTTATCACTTTGTCGAGACGAGTTACTACTAGTCAAAACTTGCGTCTAATGGTCACGACTCGTCGCTGCTCAACATTGGCACTTTTTGGCGAATAGGCAAGACAGTTTTGCAAGCAGTATCTTTTTATCCTTTAGAATTTACAATTTTTTTTCTATTTTCTACAATGACATATTATTCCCCTCATTTATATAGCATGTTATATACACTTAAAAGGACAGTTTCACAGACTCTTCAGAAATATCCACAAATGTATACAAATTTTCATAACATATTTATAAGCTGATGTAAAGTACATCAAACATTGACACTTATCAAAGAACTGTACACAGTAGGCAACTGGAAGATCCACCATGGGGGTCTAGTCTTACGGGAAGGTCGTAAAATCGAATCACACAAAAAATTCTGGTGACTCAAATGTTGTTTATTCACGTGCTGTCAAATTTTCCTTAGCCTTCACGGCTATTTTTTTGACTTGTGTTACATCAATTTCTCTATAAATACTCTCACGTACACACACACACAATACTTCCTTGAGGGCAGATATGAGGCCATCTTAAGCCTTGTGTTTACACGGTACTGGATCCTGTCTCAGGAACTTTTTTTTTCACTATATTTTAAATGTGACTACAGTTTCGGGACAGGAAAACAAAGTTATTTTTGTACAAAAGTTTGTTGGAGGAACAACGTAATTTTAAGATCCAGTTGATCTGTACTAGTAGTTTGTAAATTACGATTATTAACAATGTACCAAGAATCTGTAGTCAGAGAATGAAAGACTCCTTTAAGCGGCGCCAATCCTCCACGTTGAAGTCCTCACCGATGTTCACTCCAGACCCGATCCTGCTGCCCGAAGGAGACTCAAACTTGGCCACAATGTCTGAGGAGGAGTTTTTGCAGCAGTGTTGTGGTTCCTCCGGCATCGAAGGTTTCTTTAAGTCTTCCTCCAGTCTCGATTTGCAACTTTCATCTAGTTCGATATTCGCTATTTCATCATCTCCTTTACCATCATTATCTTCTTCGGTAATATCACATGAGCCTTGTTCTTCAGAACACCTGTTTTCCTCGCCATATTGAGAGTTTTAAGTGGTCCGCAGCCTCCGCCTCTTCATCTTCCATCATCTCCTCTTCGCTAATAACAGACAAGTTATGGACCAGAGCTGTGGCCCCGTAACGGATGTCCTTGTCTGAGAACATCGCGAAGTCGTCCAACAAGTCTTCGTCTTCTCCGTCGTCCACTTCGCAGATCTCCCTGTCGTGAAAAACGGGAGAGGCGTCGAAGCAGGTGGAGAGGAGCAAGCGGCTCCTGGCAGCCATGACCCGCTTGGCCAGGATGATGGTCTCCTGCTGGAGCGCCTCCACGTAGCCATCGTCACGCCACGTCATGCACTCCTCAACGTGCACTGCAGGAGGAAACAAGAGGCTCAGTGAGAGACGCTAAGGCAGGGAGAAAGAGACTGAGTGATAGACAAACGAAGATTCTGAACATAAAGAAACTGAGACAAACGGAAATACATGGTAGGGAAAAGTGAAACAGAGACACACAGAAAAAACACACACAAAAGACAGAAAAAAGAAAGAAAAACGTTGGATTTACTTAATACACCAAAGCAGAGACGACCAATACTTCCTCTAATATATCCCACTCACCTGGGCGGCCAACGAAGAGTGTTCTTCACCTTTACGACATAGATGTAGCTGGACTGTAGTTGCCTCTCAGCAGATAGCCTTAATAAGAACTCTTAGATCTTCAGCTGTCTTCCTTTACTACTGACTCTCATGTGCTTTCAGCCGACATGACTTAATTCCCTTAATTCTCCGTTAAACGTCCCTAAATTCGCTCCTCGGTTGCAAAAAATAGCGACAGGGAAGACATAGTCATTCTGCCATGGATTTTTCTGTCAGAAAGAATTATTCCGTGTCTTAGTTTGTGTAATTGTTGTTATATTCACGATAAACATCATTAAGATGTTAACAACTTGAACAGTTCCAGAGGCATTTAAGTTCCAATTTCCGCGGAATATGATTTTCAATTCCAGTGGGATACGATTTTCAATTTCAGTAGCTTTTAATTTCCAATTCCAGTGGCATTGAAATTCCAGTCGTGACGCATCACAATTTTCATACAGGGAAAATTACACTAGGAAAAACAAATCATTGTAAATTACAACCTTAGAAGGCACTAGCATATAGCTGCATCGTACTAGAAGCAAGCATTACCTTCTTTGAGAAGGGTGAGCACTAAGGAGAGTCGCTCGAAGCAAGGTAACTACTAACAAATACTGGCGCATTCACGGGGAGGACAGAAGGGGGCGGGGGATGCAGGCAGCAAGGGTATGAAAGGCTAATATATGCATTCCCATAAACATTCGCATATCTGCGCTTGTATACACATATTTGAGTTTAAATACCCGTATGTATGCATATACGAGGTTATACATATTTACGTATGTTAGGGACAGTATTCACCTCGATCTAGTAATGACATATTTTTGCAAGTCTACGTTATTATATAGAAGACCAGCTCTGAAGCTCCTGTGATGTGATTAATAACAATAATAAGTGGAAAATGTGTATTAGATTCTTGTTCATTAAATTTCAACTTATTTGATCATCAATCATGCCAGGCTCTATGTAGACTCTTACGATATCATTGTTCCTGAATGCTCTAAATGCAGATATAATCTCTCTTTCCGCGTCACTAATCTAAGAAAATGACATGCATCTTAGCCATTCTACTTTTAGTCAAGCAAAAGCCGAAATATAACATCTAAAAGTTACGGGAAAAAAATATGTAAGACATTTAGCATTAATTTACTGTGTCATCCGATACTGCCGCACTTGTCTAGCGTGAGGTTAAAGGAATGATTAAAAAACAAAATTTGATCTTTGTAAATCATTTCCCTTGCAAACAAAATTGACCAACCAAAAGGGGGGGAAGAAGCGCTGCCATAACAAGCGGTGGCGGGAACGGAGAAACACAACAGATCAATGTCTTACACTCGAAGCTCCACCTGGATTTGTCGATCATAAGACGACTCTTCGCAGCCTCCAGCTCCTGCTTGAGTTGGTCTTGCTTCTCCCGGAGGGCTCGAATCTTCTCCTGCGTCCTGCGGCACTTAGCGATGTCCTCCTCGGTCTTGTGGCTCTCGTATCTCGCCACGTCCTCTTCGTCGAATTCCTCAACAGGCACGCGAGAGGAAGAGATTCTGCCTCCACCGCTAATTGGGGCCGCCCGGGCTTCAAGAGCGGTTGTAGAGGTGGGTTTCTGGGTTCTCAGGGGCGAGCCAGTAGGCGTTTTGGATGGTGAATATTTGGAATGGGAATGGGAATGACTGCTTCCTGAGGGGCATGTCGTCTTTTGGGCATTTTTGGGATGCATCTCTAATATTTTGGAACGCGTTCTTGTGGTCTCTCTTGTCTTGGAGGTCCCGACAGCTATGTTTTCACTCCCTTACGAAGAAAGAAAGATGGTACAAAGAATATGCTGTTTTCTATTGGTCCTCAAATACATATTCTCTAAAAAGTCAGACAACTGTATAGGAAGAACAGACACTTCAACAACAATGACTTCAACCTCCAAGAAATCACATAAAAATAAAATACATTTTGCAGTATAAATAAGAGATTCCAAATCATCAGCATTTAAAGGATGTCACAGTACATATAAGAGGAAAAACACTGAACTTCGTCACTAATCAGTGAAAAATATTACATGTACAAGGAAACAAGTGATACAAAATACAGTCTAAGAGGGACTATATATATCCAGAGAAGAACCTCCTGATGCCTGTTAAGTGTTTACATTTCCCTTCTGTTCCTTCCTGTCTCACCTTCATATTTTTATGTTCTCAGAAAAAAAAATGTGCATTACTCATTCCGTTCTTTCTTCATCTTTTACCTTTTCTTAGTTTACTTAATTTTAGGGCGTTCAGAATACATTCCGATTAATAGCTTTTTTATGCATTTTGTATATTTATCTAGTTTTTTTTTTTTTTGTATTCTGCAATTCATTATATATATATATATATTATATATATTTATATATATATATATATATTTATATATATATATATATATATATATATATATATATATAATGTGTGTGTGTGTGTGTGTGTGTGTAAAACAACCACTGTGAAAAAATAGTGAAATTCTAAGAGCTTTCGTGACTTCTCACATTATCAAGGAACTATATGGTCCTTGATAATGTAAGAAGTCACGAAAGCGCTTGGAATTTCACTATTCTTTCACAGTGGTTGTTTTTCATATTCTAAAATCAATATATTATATATATATATATATATATAATATATATAATATTATATATATATATATATATTATATATATTATATATATATAAATATATATTATATAATTATATATATAAATATATTATATATATATTAAATATAAATTATATTATATATATATAATATATATATATAATAATTATATTATATAAATATATATATATAATATATATATATAAATATATATTATATAAAATATATTAATTTTTATTTTATATTTTTATATATATTATAATATATATATTTTATATATATATATAATAAGGGGGGTACCACCTCCAGAAAATGTCATAGGGACCCTCATCCTCAGAGAAAAAATAAACTTGCTTCAGGAAAACTCAAGGTTCTCCCTGAAGCTGTTTGAGAATTTTCTCCTACCACCCCCTATATTTCAGGTATGTTTTATTTAAAGACAAAATACATTGGCCAAACATTCACAAAAATACATCAGAAAGTAAAACAACATAGGTAACTCAGAGCTACATCTCGAACACTTCGTCCAGCTCCCCTGCGGTGGGCCGCGTGCCCAGAATTCTGCAGGCATTTCCTCTGAAAGAGGAAGCTGGTCGCCCTGTGGTCCTTGGTTTCTATGATGAGCTTTTCACCCAGCTCTTTGAGGAACTTTAGAGCACACTTGCCCCATGCTCCAAGGGTCTCCGACCCTATTGGAATGAAGTTATAGCAAGGGGGAAGGTCTTCATATTTTCGGATCTTCTGGGTCTCCCTGTGGCTGGCAGTTCCACCCCCTTCCACTACAGAGTATGGCAAGTAGGTGTCTGCCAATGTGGCAGCACAGGTGTAGTCCCAGGTAATCTGCTTTCCATCCTTCCAGGGTAGCATAGTGGCTCCATCAGGACGCTTTTGACTTCCATCAGACCTCTGTACTTGGGGTTCCCGTTGAGCTGGGCAACGGGCTGTGGCGAGGCTTCTCTTTATTATGTCATTGATCTCCTCATGTCTGGCATACTTCCCTTCTGCTGTGTGGCACACGAGACCATGAAGTCCGAATTGATCAGCTGTCGCCCTGCCGTAAATACACCTATGTTCGGTGAGGATGGGGGCGGCTAGGCGAAGAGCAACACCAATCCGAATGGCCTGTGGGTCGAGACGGGTGCCCAGGGAGGAATTGGGAACAGCTAACAGGAAATCTCCTGAGTGTGGTGCCTTCACTGCCAGGAGACGAGCTTTTTTCTTTCCTGAAGCATTGGAGAGCATTGTGTTGGGTTTTTTTTTCATGATCGGTTTGTCCCAGTGGGACTGTTTGTGCTGTTTGGGAGGAGCTGGTCTACTGGAGGAGTCTATAAGGGTGTCCCACCGAATTGCTGCTTCAGTAAACCTGGGGTCTTGAGCTCCTACCAAGTCTCTCAAGCGTTCGGGCGCTATCTTCTTGACTAATGCACTGGAAGCCAAACACGAAGAGAGAAAAGCAGGTAAAGCAACATGCGTTGCTTTACGCACTCCTATACCTCCCAGTCGCACTGGGAGGGTTGCCTGATCCCATTGCTCATCCTCTAGTGACAGGTTCAGTGCCTTCTTAAAAGTTGATCTCAGGTGTGCGTCATATTCATCGAGTGTTGGGTTGTCAAAAGAGGGTGCACACCTCAAGAAGTAGTGAGTCTTGGCATAGTAAGACACCTTGTGAGGAGATACAGAGCATCATGGGCATCAAGATCGCTTATTCTCTCCTCCATTCTCATCAGGTCATTCAATTTGTCCCTGAGGACAGTATCGAT